TTTATGTTTTGTTAACAAATCCTAAGATGTACAATCCGCATAGTAAATCTAAAAAAAAAAAAGGGTGGGGGGGGGTCTCAATTTTCTAACTATATGGGACGTCGCCGTGCAGATGGTATGGGAACGTACGCAAACGCGGAAGACACCAAAACAAAGAGGACAGTACAGAAATGAAAAAGGGAAAGAGACACAACCGAACCCGTTGTTGTTGAAGATAAAAATACGGACTTGTTTTGGTTTCCACCGAATGCTCGGTTTGTAAAATGAAAATTGAGAACTCCCGTAAAATGTCTCACTGAGACAGCCTCAACAAGAGACGAAAAGAAAGGTGGCCAAAACAAACAAAACGGCACGAACATGATGCGACTTGGAACAACCCGAACCCATTTATCATTCTGTCTCGCAATTCTTTACACACCTACAGATTGAAGGAGAAATCATATGGTTCAAATTTAAAATCGATTATTAATCAAATTGTGAGACAGTAAAAGACTCCCGTCCTGCTGGGAGTCGTTTTTGTCTTGTGTCAAAATATTGTAATTGTCAGTGGGCTTGATTTCCAAAGCACTGATTTCCATTTACCGTTTGACGGCACTAAATGCAGCCAGAGCTACAATAGAATGGCCAAGTCAAAGCCCAGACTTAGATCTAAGTGAGAATCTAGTGACAGACTTTAAAAATTGTGTTCCATCCGGTCTGGTTGAGCTTGAGCTGTTTCCGGAAGAAGAATGGGCAAATATTTCCACTCGTGCATATTTAATCTAATTAAAAGTATATTTAAATTTGAGATGAGATGGGAATTTTTTTTTACATTATATGCTAAAAACAATATGGCTAACAATAACAAACTTTTAAAAATGTCGCAAAAAAAAAAATCACCAAAAGAACTGAAAAGTCTTACCTTGGTGGCTCTTTGATGTCATCTCTGTCAGGTTGGTTCCCACGCAGTTCAGCGAACCGAGCAGCCGGCTCGTTATGTTTATGTGTGTGTGTTTGTTTTTGTACTGCAGAACAGATGTGAACATTCGTGTGTGTGTGTGTGTGTGTGTGTGTGTGTGTGTGCGTGTCCTTGTGTAATGCAAGTATTATTCACAGGGAGGCCGTTATCCTGCCAAAACTAAGGGCGTCTGGGAGTGTCCGCTTAAATGCGAGCTCGGGCTGATCCAACGCTCCGGACGGTCGAACAGGAAACTGGAAGCAGGCGTCCAGCAGCAGCAGCAGCCAATCTCCATTAGCCTAATGATGTGGCTACTGCACTTAAAGAGGCAGCACGCTGTCTAGCATCAGCATCAACCTAGGAGACGAGACAGAAAGGACAGCGTCGTTACCGCTTCTTTAAAAACAGTCGGAACTTTCCTGCTTTAAACAGAAGGAATCGGTTGCGAACGTTCTCCGTTTTCCGTCGGGTTATTTTCGTAAAATCTGCGTCAAACGCGAAGCCTCTGCTGATTTGGAGGAGAGTTAAAGGAGAGGAAAAGTTTGGTTATGCTTACTGATTGAAAAATGTTTCCTAAAATCTTCAGAGCAAAATGGTAAAAAAGTGTGAAAGAGGGGAAAAGGCATAATGTGGCACTTTTCTGCTGATCAAATTGAACCTTTACTTCTCAACGTTAGTTTTAAAAAAGTAGAAAATGTGGCTCCGGGTCATTTTGCCCCTTCACCAATTTGTACCTCTCACCCGTAACGCCGAGTCAGTTTGTTTCTCTTTTTAGTTAAACACTTTGAAGAATTATGGAGCTTTATATATATATTTGCTTTTAAATCCATCCAGTTGATGGGACTGAATGCTTACATTTTGAAGGCATAAAGTTTTATGCTACACCTTCTGTCCACCAATTTGGGTTCTGATCCTCATTTTTACCGGTTTGCGCTAATGAATTTGCGCAGGAGATTCCAAGTAGATTATTTAAAGTTGGGAAAAGCAATGGTGACCGAGTGAGGAAAAAGGTCGCCAAGGGAGGGGAGATTCCTGCTGTTTTATTCAAAGTAGGAAGAAGAAGAACAAAGTTCCTTCTGACCACAACATTTCATACTTCATAAAAAGACTTTATAACACACCACAATGATGTATTTGTTAGTAACAGCTGTTGAAAGCCACACAAGAAAAAGTTCCTTATAAATATGTTCGAGGAAGTTTTTTTTGGTGAAACAGATGCAGGTCACCAGAATTTTTTTGGGTACAAAATAACCCAAATTGCAACTATTATCCACAAAAGGTGATCTTTTTATTTTGGAAAGGGTTTTGCTTTGTTGTTATTGATAATAACTACTTGTACTTTAATGTTCTTTGGAAGGTAATGGGGGGGGGTAACCTGAATGCCTTGAGCCCAAAGCTTAAGTGTCAGATGTAATCAGTGGTTAACCCTGAAGCACCACAGATAGAAGGGGTAGATCTGCCCCAGGGGGAGGCTGGTGTGGAGGTGGGAGAGGGGAGGGGGTGGCGTGGATGTTTACTCCCTGGCAGAGGGTCTCCGAGGCTGTTCGAAGCAGGACGGATGCACGTGTGTGTGTGTGTGTGTGTGTGTGTGTGTGTGTGTGTGTGTGTGTGTGTGTGTGTGTGTGTGTGCATTAAAAGCTGGGGGTTGGTCTCAAGACGAGAGGGGCCAGACAGTACAGCCGCAGGACAAATTGTCCCCCCGCCCCGTAAAAAAAAAAAAGAAAAAAAAAGTCGGTCACTGCACAGTGCACGCACACTTTGTGATGAAGGGGCAGAGCTGGGAAGGGGAGGGTCCAGGTTTTAGGGAGAAGCTGGCTGCAACACCATTCTCCAAGGGTATCTCATCTGTCTGGGGAGGGGGGGCATTAACGCGAACGTCCGAGACCATTGTCCCCCCAAGACGCGTTGGCTTGATGCAGGGTGACAGAACTGGGGAGACATGCCCTGCGGCCCAAAGTGTGGCGATGACGGAAAAGCACTCACGGGGAGCAGCGCGGAGGTGGAACATTTCCTAAATATTACAAAGCTGTAATTTTGTGTGAAAAACATGAAATATGAATAAAACTTTAAACAATAACGACTACAAGTGTGACAATGTTTTTTTTTTGTTTTTTTTTTAAGCAGACCTGTACCCTGTGCAGCCATGTCAAATCCAATAATAAAACTGCTTTTTTTTTTTTTTTAAAACAAACACACTCATATAGTTATATTTTTGATCACAGTGCATTTTTTGGGTGAATAACAGGCAAATCATTTCACATTTTGCTCTAAGTTTTAACACTTTTTTATTAAAAAAATAAAAAATAAATAACCGTATCAGACTTTATCAGATGATTGCTTTTCAAAAGAAGAGAAAAGTCAATCCTAAAAAGTTCTGATGTTTTATATTGACAGAAAAAGTCTAGATGCAACTTGCAACACGCAACAGATTACAGCAACTTTACTTTTAAATGATCTACTGTCAAAGTTTATGTGAAGAGGTGTGGACACAACGACAGGTTTATTTGTTTTTGGTAGCATCTTGTTTTGGTAAATCACCACAAGAAGCTGAAATATCTCAAATTAATTAAAGTAATTGTTTAAAATGTTCTCTATTACTGTAGTCAGAATACTTTCAAAATGTGCATACACAAGATACAATTCAGTATAAGTTACTGGACATAAAAGCAATATTAATATCTGATATCGGTCCAAATCGGTGCATATTCTGTTAATATAAGATCTGGAGATTTTCTTTTTCCTTTTTTTAAATAATATGGACATAATTGATCATGAAATCTTGTGCAATTAGACCTTATCATCAGAAACTGTGACGTATTACGTCATAGTTATGATCAAACCAAGGTAACGCTACCCATCTCCTGCTAGTAGAGATTATTTATTTATCCCTTGTGTCCTGAGAGCAAACTGTGAAGAACCAACAAACATTTCTGTAAATCTTTTGTAAGACTGGCACAACCCAGTAAGTAGACCACACCATTTCTTAGGCAACTTTTTCGTGCATGAAATAAAATAAACAATGAAGCTACGTGGATGTGGCTTCGCTACAAAATAGCAAAGAAGAAAGCAGCAGTACCATAATAAAAATACTCCAGGCTCTGGAGTATTTTTTCAATATGTTGTACCCCCATTCCTACACAAACGTTGCTATTTTGTAGATACAAACAAAGAATCTTTCATATATCACACACCTGCAACCATGATGGCAATTATATAGATAAACATTCATAAAAATGGGAAATAAAACACATTCATTTGCAGCCACATTAACGCACTTGCACTGACTGACAAAGTTAAGGATTAGAAATAATTTGAAGCATAAACAAAGAGTGAATTTTGAAAAATTATTTGCAAAGTAGCTTTTCTTGCAGGAAGAAAATGTTAGGACTTATGTTACAAATAGTATGAAACAACCAAGTGCTGAATAAATTTTGTATTTTCAATCTCTACTACTGTTTTTTTATATTTTTATAGTAACTTCTGTAAGTTACCAAGTGAACCAACTTACAACTTTTTTCACGATAAAATCGAAAGGTCTGCATCGTGAGTACGAAATGACGGTATGAATGACGGTATGATCAGGAGGCAGCAAAAGCCAGAACCAATGTATATCAGAACTAAGCTGCTTAATCAAAAAGAAAAAAAGATGATCCCCTTTTTAAAATATATTCAACTTCAACTGTTAATTTATGGGTTCAAAACAAATAATTGTGTGTTATATACCAGCTTTAAGCTTCAAAAATTTGGAACTGGAATCAACAACACAAGAAAATGCATCGGTGGACCGATTGTAGATGACACAGCTTTCTGTAACCCCATCCCTAAAAACAGGGGGCTCACATACGCTCAGCCTGTTTCCAGTACAAAACACAACTCTCTGACATACAAGGACAAAAAGTCCACTTTCTCTGCACAATATTTGCAGAAACATGAGCAAAGCAGCGCTTTTAAACCCACCATAATCTACAACTCAGATGTCGCTTTAACAGCTTTAACAGTCCGTACGCCCCCATTCACAAAAAAGAAAAAAGATTGACGCATGCAGAGAATTACCACCGCCCATCCCGAACCATTCACACACAAATATCCGGGCCTGGACCTCAGTTTTACACCTTTTCCATGCCAGCAGCCCGGTCAGAATAGCTCCGGAGAAGTGTTTTCACTCTGTATTTTACGCTAAAGCCCACGGCTCGTTCCTGCTCTATAAATAGCTCAGCAACAATCGGCAAAATAAACATCGCCCCTCACTTCCCGCCCGCAACAGCGAAACAAACCGTAGCCGGAAAAAAAAAAAAAAAAAAAAAAGAAAGACAGCTTAATTCCCCGAAAAGAGGTGAAATAAGTCCTACCGCCTTGAAACACGACTCAGACCCACGGACGACCGTTGAAATGTAGCCGTGGAAAACGAAAGCGAAGCGGAGCGGTGTGGAAACTTGAGCCGGACATTGTTTTGATGAATCCCTGTGTGTGGATCGCATCCCTGGCGGAGCACCAACATGAAAGCGGCGCTGCTCGGCCACACATTCATCCGCAAGGCGCACAAACCGGCTCACCTAACACCGGCCAGGCGGAGGGCCAGGCGTCCCGACGTGTGTCCCGCTCGGTTTGCCTTTTATTTCTCTCCCATGTTAGAGACTCCGACGGGGGGTGGGGGGGCGCGGACGGGGAAAGAAAATTCATCTCCTGACAGATTCCGCCATACTGGATTTTTGTTACAGCCCCAGCGTCACATGGAGCGCCCCTGCATTTACCAGAGGCGGGGTCAGCCGGATGAAAACGGGCCCATCTACCACTGTCCAGGGCTCGGTTCTGGTTGGAGATTGTCGCTACGCTTTTAATAATAATAATAATAAAAGATACTCTGTATAGTAATGTGTTTTACAATAGCATGGAGTCGGTATAAACTTTATTTGACCAAATATTCCTCAAATAAATCCAAATGTTATCAGAAAGTTGCTTTAGTTCAAGTCAATAACACAGGCAGTCATATATTTCTAATGTTTATTTCTGATAATTGTGATGATTGTGGCATAATTGTTCTCGGAAAATAAAAATTTCACTGATCTTTTGACCTTTTATCTTTAATGCTGAGCTCCATGTCTGCCAGGGATATGAGTAATTATGCCGCCGATGGTTGGTTTGGGCTCCTTTTGCGTTGTGTCGTTGCAGCTTTTCCTTCTTTTTAAACATTTTTTCCTTCCACTTAACTTCCCATTAATATCACTGAATAAATCCCTCTGCAGCTTCTTTAGCGGTAACTCTGTGTGGCTTGCCTTTCTGGTGAAGGCTGCTGATGACAAGTTTTTCCCATCATTATAATGATAATGTAACATTTCTGGGGATTGTTTTTTTAAGAATTTTTATGTCATATTCTAAATGTTTGCCTGTAAGCCACAATCATTGTGTGTGTAGTGAGTTATGCGTACTTATCATTTATCTAACATTTTTGAAAACTGTGTGCCCTGTGCTCCTGATTTACTGTTAGTATCTATCTAAACCCTATTTAATCTTAAATGTGATAAAAAAAATTCAAGTTATTAAAGTATTTATAAGAAAACAGTTTAAAGCCTTTTTGATTTAAGTGCCAAAAAAAAGGGGGTTTTTTTTTTTTTTTTTTTTTCTAGTTGTTTTAGCATGAAGTAATTCACTGCTGCATTACTGACAAAGGGCCAGCTGTTTGGAAACATTTTATTGTGAAAAACAGAAAGTTTGGCGCGGAAAGTGAAGGAACTCAACCCATAATGCCGTTTCAAAACCTACAAGCTGTTCTACATGCAGTTACGTCATTTGATCGATTTTTGTTTCTAATCTTTTAACACTCAAGGCTAGCCCACCATGGGAATCTCACCGTGGATAAAGGTAAAATCTAGGAAACAAACAGAAAGTGTCTTTCTTTGAAATTCAAAGGAATCTGACATTATCATAGTTTGGGAAACATAATATCATTCAGGAATTCAGGGAATCTAAGAAATGCGTGCTCACTGGAACGGCACTGTGTGCTATCTGCGTCACTTTTTTTTTTTTTAGCAAAAAAGTGGACCTGTCAGGGTGAAAAAAAAAACCTGAAATCTTGTGAGAAACCATTTTCTTTTGTTACATTTGCAGATGCATATTAAAGCTGCACCATAAAATCGGTGGTTTAGAAACGTTACAGGCCTAAGAACTCAATTAAATGCTCCCGGTGCTCTCCAAACAACCCAATATTTCTCCGTCCTGCATTTCAACCTCTCCCTCTGACGCTCGACGTCTTCCATAACCTTCGCCAGCAAAATGAAACAAACATTTTTATCCAATTCCTGCTCATTGCAACACGAAACGCCTTTCCCACCACCAGCGTTAATCCAATAAGCCTTTATTTCCATTACTTTCTATTTGATTTTGCATCTCGGCAGCCACCCACAGGTGAGTCTGAAACACCGCGGCCCGTTTCCGCTGACTCGATTACCGTAATATGCTAAGCAGCTTCCGTATGGGCTGCATCTGCGTGTGGAGACGATGTTATTATTCAGAAGGCGCAGGTAGACTCCCTGCTGGGGAGTTCAGTCTGCTCTCCCGCCCCTCAGGGGGGCTCCTTCCACAACTCACTGAAGCTCACAGAGAAACGCTGGGAAAGACACGAAGGAGCTGAAGGAGGCAGAACTTCCAACTTTACAATGTCTTGTTGTTGACGCGTCACATTAGATCCCAATGAAATGCCCTCGAGACAGAACAGGTAGAAAAATCATGCTAGATATTTTAGCACCATTCCAGACATTACTAGACAGCACTAAACTCCCCCATTCCTTTTTTTTTTTTTTTTAGTAAAGCAAAAATCCCAAGATCCTGCTGGCTTTGCTGAAGGAAAAACTCACCAACCTACAAAAACAACCCCACCTCCACTGGCATGCACCCGTGCCCTCCAACATCATCTGGTACCGCAGCCTCTTCCTCTTTAGCGGCTTGACCTCTCCTCCTCCCAGCAAAGGCTGTCTTGTGGCTTCAAAACGATGTCTGGTCTTAATAACGGCGGCTCACGGTGTCGTCTTTAGCCGCTTCAGCTCACATCCAACTCTTCTGGGCCTGTCTGCCCGTCACTGGTTCTAAGTCAAGATTTGAAAAATGCAAAAGGCGTTTTGACTTTTCTCGAAGCTTCATCCGCAAAATATCACTGCTGCAACTACCAAATAGCAAATCTGTGGATATACCGTAGATGTTTTTGGTTTGAAGTTTTGCCAGTAATTGGTTCATTGGGATAAGCAACAACGGCCTGTTTAAACCTTCTTTCGTTTCACCACATCTGATAAGCTCCCATGACAAGTAAACTAGTTTCTTATGTTTGTCTGATTGATTAGGCTCAGTACATAATATATTTATTACCTTAAAATATTCAGCTGTTAGCCTATTTTTAGCTGTCAGAAGAGCCTTCTTCAATGGATGAAAACAAACAAAGCCAATCCAAAGAAGCAGAACGAAACTCTGCCGCACTCGTAAACTTTAGATTTGTTTTATATGTAGCTAAACTACTGATTTTTATCTATCAAACTAATAGTAAGCCAAATACAGACTTTCACAGATCAGTGTTGGGGATGGAATCCGATGTGCCTCTGCATTAGCAGGTGCAGATACCTAATGACTTGATCATCGCCCTCCCTCTTTGTTCCCACCAGAAATAGTCATCTCTGTCACGAGACGCTCTTTTGTTCGTTCCAACCTGACCCTGGCTTTTGCACTGCTCTGCTGCAGCTGGCTTTTATTTTTATTTTATTTTTTTTAAATTGAGGTTGCTCCTCCTCCGGAGTTAAGGGGAAGGAAGCCTGTTGGGACGGTCATATCCATGGAAACAGAAGATTATACTGTAATTTGTGGATGAGCTGCAGAGGCTTCGGTTACATAAGACGACAGGTCTTGGGAGGCATTGCTGATGTTGTCGGTAAGCTGTTTGGGGCTGCAAACTACGACAAGTAAACCCGAAGGCCTTCCTCAGGTTTTTTTTTTTTTTTTTTTACAAGTTTTCCAATTGGAGGGAATAATTTGAGAGGTAAATATGTGAATTCTCCAGAATGCAAAAAAAAAAAAAAAAAGTACAACCATTAAATGTTCTTTTAAAATGCTCCATTAACAGGAGCGTTAAGGTTAACGCTGGTGTTTCTCATCACTTCCATGTGGCTTGATCGTCAGACCGGGTTTACAGCAGCTGTCTGGGAGCACAGATTGCTCCAGGACATCTGCATCCGTATTGTTTGCATATTGACTTTTGCTGACGCAGACGCGCGTTAAACGCTCAGACGTGTGTGTCTGTGCGACGAATCTGAAGCGAGTTCATTGAGAGCAATGATGTCAACGCAGGGATTAGATTTGGTTTATGTTGCCCCAGAGCTGCGCATTTGCGACGAGCGCGGTCCAAACTGCCAAACCAGTGATTACGTCGGTTGAACTATGTTTTTGCATCCAGGAGGGTATTTGGTACCTACTTTCTGTTTTTGTGGGGGATTATATTCAGCGTGATTCATTTAAAAAGGCATCTGTACCGCAAAAAGAGAGAAAAAAAAAAACTGGCCTATAAAAGACATCCTGAGTAATGACGTTCCAAAAATACACCGTGTTTCAGGCCGGTGGCTGGGTGGGGGGCAGGGGGAGCAGCAAACTGGCCGGAAAGTTAACAGACGAGCGTTTAGTGCCTGCAAAAAAGAAAAAGAAAAAGAGCTCTGCTGTGATACCACAGAAGACACATCACACACAGGCTGTGGACCAGACCACTTGCAATACACACAAAACTGCCTGTTAGTGGTTTTCGAAGGGAAGCAGTTGTCTCACCCAACACAGACCCACATGAGTCAGATGCAGCGTGCAGACAACACTTTGCAGACCTCAAGAATCATAAAGATCCTCTGCCTTTAGCCCACGAGGATGAAAGCACTTGCGACTCTCAACAGTTGTAGATTGTCCAAAGCCCATTTCTGCCTTTTGGGTATAGCTCATGTGACATGTTTGAGAGAGGGAGGAAGAAGCAGTAATGGAGTCTTGTGAATAAAAAATAAAAATAATAATAATAATAATAATAAGCATCAGCATCCAGGCTTTCTTCAAGTCGCGCCAGTTGGTCTAAAACTTTCCATCAAAGCCAACGCTGAGCTGCACACAGAGTAATTACCGGAGCCATCTCCCAGGACGTTTTTATTCATACTGCTTGTGAGTGCATAAAGGTGAGGGTACGGCACTCATAGCAGATTAATATGGCTCCAGTAGCCGGTCAGGAACAGAGCACGTTGTTTCCACTGCCTGTGAAGAAACGGCGCTGCGGAGACTACGGCTATTTCAGATATAAACCAGCTCGCCCGGGCGATAAACTGAGAAATGTTATGACGGGTCGTTCCTGGTTTCTGAAGCCCACCCAATGCGTCGTTCCAGAGGCTTTGGAGACTTAAAGTTTCTAGCCCGTGAGTGGACAAACTCTGAGTGACGTCAGCTTTACATTTAAGGGGAAATCTTTGCGTACTTTGACATGAATTTTTGGAAAAATTTATCCAAAAAAAATGTCTCACTTTGTCTACTGAAGAGAGTAAGGTCTTTTTTTTTTTTACGCTTTTAACTTCAAATTATAATTTGGAGAGATGAAAAAGACAGGAATTTAAAGCAAATTAAGCTAAAAAAAATAATGCAACAATTACAGGTAGTGAGAAGTATGTAATAATTTCATCTCATTTTAAAGACAAACAAACGAGACCGAAACCGTCGCCTGCTGCTCCCCCACATGACTCATGGCATCTGAAAACAAAAGCAAACAATGCTGATTCAGAAGCAAAGCAAATATTAAAACATGATATGAAACCGACTCTAAAAATACCACGGAGCTAAAATAGGAGGAGGGAATGAATATTTAAGCAAATCGATGAAGAAAATGAAACCAGCTTTAAGACTAAAAATCTAACTCAGACAGCAAGACGGCCTCAGCTGCAGGATTTCCATCAACTTCTACCAATTTCTGTGTCTGCTGCATAAACAGAAATGAATGGACTTCCTGTTGTCAGGCTCCGTAGGTGTAAACACTACTGACCTGACCCCATGATCTCCTCACTCCTGTGACGTTTTCTCTGTTGAAAAGCTTGCAACCACAGTCATGTGGTGTTGATGCATACCAGTAGAAAAAGGCCAGTATCTTAGATGCCTTAAAAATGTAAAGTCTTTATTATAACATGGCAGGGGGGCGGGGGTTTAGGCTTCTTTGGTAGTTCTGGAAACCGAGTCACATGATTTATTGGTTTAGATAGAGTCTCCTGACCAGAATATGTCTACTACTGTCTATAACTCAGAGG